GTTTATCTCTGTCCTCAGGGTCACCTGAGTGGCGCTTCTGGCTCCTGTAGTCTGCAGTTTTTCTCTGGAAATCCATTCCTACACTCACACCATTTAAAGGGTGTTCATCCCAAATTGTATAGCTAAAAATTGCAGACTACAGGAGCCAGAAGCGCCACTCAGGTGACCCTGAGGACAGAGATAAACCTCCAAGTGCTTCAATGATCCCCTAAAAGGATGCAAATGTCCAGCTGTCTGCAAGGAATATAAATCCTTCCATCCCCCCCACCCTATCCTGTCAGAGCTGAAGAAGCTTCTTGGATTAGAAGTGAAACATCTTCAAAAAGGAAAAAAACAAGGAAGTCTACTTGTCTCCTGAAAAAGCAGCTTTGGGACAACCATGACCTGGATGACTGAGAATCTCTACAGACATCTAACCAACTGCTTATAGATTTCTTAGCCGTATCATCAGTCCCTGTTGCAAAAATCTCTTTTTCTAATCACAGAGATGCTTCCGCCAACCTAGCAGTTCGAAAGCACGTAAAAAATGCAAGTAGGAAAATAGGAACCACCTTTGGTGAGAAGGTAACAGCGTTCTGTGCACCTTCGGCATTTAGTTATGCCGGCCACATGACCACAGAGAAATCTTCAGACAGCGCTGACTCTTTGGCTTTGAAACTGAGATGAGCAGCCCCCCCTAGAGTTGGGAACGACTAGAGCATATGTGATTTACCCTTTAAAGCAGTACTTCTCAACGTTAGCAGCAGATGGTGTGGACTTTTAAGATGTGTGGACTTCAACTCCCAGAATTCCCCAGCCAAATGAAGTCCGTACATTTTAAAGCTGCAAAGGTTGAGAAACAGGTTGAGGAAATGACAGTTCCATATCACTATGAGTTTTTTTTAAAAAAAGGGTATTCCCATCTAAGATATCAGAAGCGATGTTCGATTCAATTATTACCAGTAGAATTTTGAAGTGGCTGTTTTAAATGACTCACCAGAAAGTTGGCAGAGTTCACGAATATCCCATACTGGTGAGTCATACGACAGTTGTGACTTTTTTGTGATGTTTTGGTGTGCTTGATGGTTGGATGTTCATGGTTGCTTGAAGTTTCCCCTGGGATTTCCATGGAAGTCACTGGAACACTTCTGAAAATGACTACTGAAAATGAAATTTTCTCATAAAAATCCTTTGTATGTGTGCCTATTGTAAAAGGCATAAATACGTATTTAGTTTCACTCTTCTTGGAAAATTTATGTTTGCAGTTCGAGATAGAGTCCGCACAAAGATGGAGAGAGATATATTAGTAGAAGTAAATCATCCGTTTATTGTCAAACTGCACTATGGTGAGTATTACTGTCTGTGGCTTTGATCAAGGTTTATCCGATAAATGTCTTCATTTCTAGAGTTTGAATTACATCTACTAGCTTGGTTTTTTTTTTTTTAAAAAAAGCAGACTTTATATTGTGTGACAAGCCATTTAAGCAGTTATTTTTAAATGTTTTCCATGAAACTGGGTTTATTTAGATAAAAGTTTTATTATTTATTTAGCACATGGCATACCATACGGGGACTAACAATATATATTAACATTGAATCTAGATAAGGGATGTCAGACTCAAGGCCCATGGGCCAATCCGGCCAGGGGTGGGTTTCTCGCCCCATTCCAACCGCCCCATTCCAACCGC